TAAAAAAAAAAATGTTTATTTTTTGAGAGAGAGTGTGTGTGCCTGCTCGCATGATTGGGGGAAGGGCAGAGAGAGGGAGACAGAGGATCTGAAGTGGGGTCTGCTCTGACATCAGAGAGCCCCACGAGGGACTTAAACTCATGAACTGTGAGATCACGACCTAGGCCAACATTGGACGCTTAACCAATTGAACCATCCAGGCACCCCTCTCCTTGAGTTTTTACTTCTGGTTCCATTCTCCCAGAGAATTTTATCCTAACGTAATATATTTTTATGTTTGAAAAATCTTCTGATCATTTTCATGATCATGATTTTCATGATTCATTAAAATTAAAAGATTTAAAAATTTTCTGTAATTACTGGATTGTTACTTGCAAGTGGGGCAGAGGGCAGAGGGAGAGAGAGAATCTCAAGTAGTCTCCATACTCAGTGTGGAGCCCCACACAGGCCTCAATCCCATGACCCTGGGATCATGACTGGAGCTGAAATCAAGAGTCAGACACTCAACAGACTGAGCCAACAAGGCACCCCTTAGCAAATTATAAGCAAAAAAAGTAAAATGTTATTTGGAATACATCTTTTGAACAAGATGAGGCAGAGCATATGTTTGGACTCTTGATTTTTTTGTTTTTGACTCTTGATTAAAGGTTTCCTGAAGTCCTTTATTTTGCGTGATCTCTTTGGTACTCAGAGGCAATGTACCATCATAAGATTCAGATGTGCTCTGATAGCAGGTGTGGTTTAATGTTTTCACGTTAGAGAGAGGACCTCGGGGAGAGGGGAGGGAGTGGGGAGCCAGCAGGACATCTCCACCATAGCTTGGTATCAGTTGGGTCACTTTTACAAAGAGTATGGGAATTAAGGATCTCAAAATTGATTCCCTTAAAACCATCTGGGTAACTACCTTGGTAAGTCTTTGTGTATTCCTAAGGCCACTGTTCGCAGATTGCTACCTTGAAAGATAATTTGTAGAGATCCTGTCAACTGGGTTGTCAGAAATGTGATTAAGTGGACAAGATGACTATAATGAGCATGTGTTTTTTTCTGTCTCTTTCATTCCATGTGGTTTCTGGAAGGATTGTCAGTCACACTCCCTCACCTCTTACAGGGAGCCTGGCCTAGCCAATCATATTAATCCTATTCCCTTGACTATAGTAATTTGTCCAGCGATAGGCATAAAAAACAAACAGATCAAAGTCCTTCCCTGGAATTGGTATATAAACTCTGAAGATTTTACTTTCTTTCTATTGGGAGCTGCTGAGCTTCGAAGATGTAAATCTGGAGCCGCTGGCAACCAAGCGGGAATGCCTCTGCAGAATGAAGGCAAGGGTTGCAAAACGGCAGGGAGGTCAAACCAAGGGCCTCTGGGGGCCCCGAATTTCAGTCCTTGAGGCCTTTGATCCTGCGAATTTCTCTAGTATCCTTTCCAGCTGCATGAGCCACTGAGTTACTGTATTTGCTTAAGTTAGTTTAAGTGTATTTTGGTGCTACTGAAATAATTTAGTAAGAACCAAGAAAAGTAAACACAAATTATTGTGAACATATCTTTTGTAAAGTGGTAATTTTGAAAATTTTCTCTTCTAGATTGTTGGACCTTCAGATGGAAGTAGTTACATTATAGATTATTATGGAACCAGACTTACAAGACTGAGTATTACGAACGAGACGTTTAGAAAAACACAGCTATATCCATAAGTATTTTTTAAAAGAAACAGTAAGTAATATGCATATATAATCTTTATTATAGTATATCACCTGTATAAAATTATGAAAATTTGTGAACCGTAGGAAATTTAAGGAGACCATCTAATGTTATAAACCTCTCATTTTGCTTATGTGGAAACACAGGTCTCCATTTGCCTGAAACATCTCTAGTCTTTTGTAGAGCTTTTTTATGTACACTCATTGTTCCTGCAGTTCCTGATTCAGTCCCTCTTGCTTTGCAGACATTATGGCTAGAAGACACAGTTCACAACAAAAAGATAACGTCAAAGCAAAAAGATATTTCATAGTATTATAGGATGGTTCTGGAGAAAGCATGTGTTGTAGACATTTCAGTACAGCATGTCTTTGCTTCTGTCCTGCTTTCTTGGGGTCACTATGATCTTTAAACCTCTTTCTTCTTCCCTAAACCTGAAGGTTAATTGAGACTCAACCCTGAATAAGTACTTATTCTAATCTAAAGTTTGGCCCTGCCCATGAGAATTATTAATTGGCCTTAGCTTTAACGAGGTAATACACCATGGCCCCTGGGTGACTCAGTCGGTTAAGCATCCAACTTTGGCCCAGGTCATGATCTCACGGCTCGTGAGTTTGAGCCCCATGTTGGGCTCTGTGCTGACAACTCACAGCCTAGACCCTGCTTCGGATTCTGTGTCTCCCTCTCTTTGCCCCTCCCTGCTGCTCACACTGTCTCCTTCAAAAATGAATAAACATTTTAAAAAATTAAAAAAAAAAAGGTAATATACCTGGATAAGTCAGAGATATCATCAGTCTTCCTGGCTCAATTCTCTGATTCTCTAGAACTCTGCTACTCCAAGGTTTTTATTTCCAGGGCTGTACCTTAGTCTATTCTAATAAATAATCTTCCAAGAATGTCAGGCTGTTCTCAGGGTTTTGGTAGAAAAATGATTCTCTAGCACTATCTCCTCTGCAGTGGTGAAGTTCTGTATAACATGTAGCGTGCAGGGTACTTGTTAGGTGACAGTTCACATTGAACCACCTAGCAGCTTTCAGAGAGAGAAACACAGGCCAGGTGTTCTGGCCACAGCCATAGCCCTAGGGTTTTCAGTTGATTCTATCTCAGAGAGTGCTTCTAGAGGCCAGGAAAGGAACAGACATTTATTTTCTATGCTGCAGTGTATAAATAGGATATGTAGTATAATTTTTGCCACTAAGGTAGTTTTTTTTTCTCTTCTCACAGTAATATTATGAGATATGCTTTATAGTTAGTGTCATGAGGGTTGAACAGTGCCAGACCCTGTCAGGATGTGAGGAATTTGTTCAACTGTCCAAAAAGTTTTTCAAATCTTTTCCTATAAAGAGTCTTTGGGTTCAATATTGAAATGAAGCTCAGAGATCCATCTGTCTCTTCTTGCCAGGGAATAAGTTGAGCCCTGGGGACGTCGAGACTAAGATACAACTAATCAGTACAGAACTGCCTCTCGAATCAGTTCTTCTGTGCCTTCCACTGGTTGCTGTGCACTGCCCACCCCACCTCAGCCCCACCAACTCTGTCATTTTGCAATATGCATCTTCATTTTGGAAATCGTTATTCCTGCTCTATGGGAAGGGTTGTGTGGTTTCACATAGCCCTATTTTCATCCTGTAAATTGTTGTGTCTCTTTCAAAGTATACAGATTGTTTTCAACATGGTGAAATTAAGCAACTGCAATTTAGAAAGCAGTTTCATTCTCTGTGGCCTATTAGATCAACTTTTCATTGGGATTCCAGACTCCGATTTGATATTTAAAACTTGAAGGGCTCATTGAGAAGGCAGATCTCTGCACTGCCATTCACATGGTCTCCTACAGTAAATATGGCAATGTTCCAAGAGAAAGAAAAAAATGTCCTGAGTAAATGAAACGTTAAAATGTGCATCTACGGTAACCTCACTGGACTCTTAAAATACTGTGTTTTAATGCATTTCTTTTTTCTGTTTTAGGATTTGGGCTTCCTTGATTTTAACAGAGCGCTCTCAGTATGTGGGTTTCCAGATTTTCCTTTCTCTTCACACATCACTTTATGGATTCTATATAACTTTGTATTATTGTTGATATTTTGTTTTGTTGTTTTACTTAAAAGCATGTTATTCTGAGATTTATTTAATTGGACTTTCTTTGAGAGGTGTATGATAATAGAGTCTTTCTCTGGCTACTGTCTCTATGAGATAAATAGCTTATTACCCCGATATTCCTTAAAGTCTTTCCTGATGGCAGGTTGCCACTTGTCATTTTTGCTTCTGAAAAATAAAAATATGGCCTATTCACATTTTTTAGCTCTTTATTGTCAAGAAAACCTTGAATGTTGAATGTAGCTGTCTTCTAAATTTTGATCCTTCAAAACAGCTAATCTGTAGTGTGAACAAATCCCATTACTATATTGCCTGGGGCTGCGGTCATGTATGAGAACCCACCTGTTTTTCTGCCGCTTTCAGATCTGTCTCTGCCTCCGTATCCAGGGAGCGAAAGATCACTGGGGAGTCTGAAACCTTGAGGCAACGCGGATACTTCTGGCACTGATTCAGGCCTCTGAAGTGTGAACTTTTTCCTTTTTGCTTTGGGAGTGATGCACTAGCTTTTGGAAGACCAGCTGCTGACTCGTCTAGCTCAGTGCAGTTATATTTGAAGCTGGATAGACAAGGTGGGAACACCAAACAGATGATTAATGTCTTCCATCTGTTAACACTGCCAGGCAGATGCCCGCACAAGTGCCGGACGTGGTGCACCAGGGTCTGAAGGGAAGGAAGCGGCACCTGAACGCTGGCACGGCCTCTTCTTACCGTGCATTACAAGGGTTTTGGGAAGATGGAAATACACGAGATGTTATGTGCTCATCATACCGCTGAGGTTTTTTTAGTAACAGGCATAACGGCTTCACAATTACTTGAGTCCGGGCTCCCCAAGAGTAACACCATAATTTTTTTTATCACTCATATTACTCAAAAGCATACAGTCTAGTACAGTTGGCTTCCTAACATGTTAGTCACTCAGCAACAGTTTCTGCAGTTGGCGGGTGATTATTAAGTATCGATATGTGAAGTGAATTTGGATCGACTCCTCATACACACAAGGAATGGGCCCTTTGATTCCTTCATTGAAATACTGAGTGTCTACTACATGGGAGGTACTGTTCTAGATGCTAGGATGCAGCAGTGAACAAAAACATGAACAAACATCCCCTCCCTTAAGGAGTTTACGCTCCCCTGGGATCTGTTTTCACAAGCGATAGTATTTTGGGCTGCAGTTAAGCTAGCTGGTAGATGCCCAGTTTCTAGTATTTCCTAGTTCCTTTTGTTTGCAGACAGTGCTTTGAAGTTTAACCTCAGGATCACCTAAGTCCAGATTTGAAGTCTGCGTTTCTCTAGCCGTGTACGGTATGAGAAATCCCTGCAATTGAAGCTTGAAAAAGTCCTCTTGATTCTTGCATAATTGTTCCAGTTATTAACTTGGCCAGGGGGAAAGTCTGTTTCAAAGCAGGTGCTTCTCAAAGTGTTTATTCAAATAAGCTATACTCCAAAAGGGTTGTAGATAAAATCTAGAAATAAAGTCTCTTCACAGTGCATTCTTAAGCCTGTAGACTTTATTTTCTTTATAATTTCCTAAATTTATATGACAAGAACACCTCAGCCTTTCCACTTTGCTTAATTCCCTGTTGCCTAAAATATGTACTTCTGTAACAAATGGTTTTTCTGTGTCTTATTATTTATTTTTTATGTGAATACATTTAATACATGTAATTTCAGTTTTTGTTTTATTTTGCTTTCATGGAGCACATTTTATTATGGCTATTTGTTAGTAGTGTCTCTGAGTACAAATTGTATGTTAAGGCCTCTGTAGGAGATGTTTTATATAACCCTACTTTTAGAGCAGTGGCCAAAATTGTGAGAGATGAATTAACTCAATCATTCCTTGGGTTACTCCTAAACCCTCTAGGATGGAATGGAATGGATTCTTTCAATGCTACATAAACAGTTAGTGTTTCTATAGAAATATTTACAAATGGTACTGCTTTAGCCTGAAAGAATTAATACAGTTTCCAGAAGTACCTCTTTACCCAGGAGGGTTTCTTACCTACAGTATATTAGAATAAAAGATCTTTTTAAGACTTCAAAGATTGTGCTATGTGTATGGCTAGCATCTGTTCATGGGATTTCTAGGACTATAAGAAATACCGGTTTGTAGGTGTGTTTTGTTTTTGTTTTGCATTACAAAAAAATGCATGTCTTTTCTCCTTATTTTAACCTAGATGCTTAAGGCTAAGTTAAGTATATAATACTGATAAGCAACTAGGAAACTACAACAGATCTAATAGCAAGGACTAGCAAGAAGAAAAATTAGTTCTTAACAAGTATAAGTCTAAGATGTTGGTTCCTCTTCCTGATTCAAACATCTTAACTGTAGATGTTCCTCGGGGTTCTGACACCTTCTCCTTTTCTCCCATTAACTCAGCATCTATTTTGCTTTTTTCTATTTATAAAATTAATACAAACCTAATGCAGAAATTCTGGGAAACACCAAAAAGTGCAAAGAAGAAAGCTCATTCCATAGCTCAAAGACAACAATGTTAGTGTTTTTATGTATGTCCTAGTAGTTTTTCTGTGCACATATGTACATTTTCTTCACAAAAATGATATAGTACCCATACTGTTTTGTAGCCTGCTTCTTCACATTGTAAAGATTTTTCTATTTCAATAAATATTCTTTTACAACACCATTTTTAATAGCTGCAGAGTACTCCATGTCTCCAAGTCATAATTTATGTAATTCCTGTATGTATTCTTTGGTACTGAAGTTATTACAATAAATGAGCAATACATGTTTATGATTCTTTTTCTCTAGAATTGCCATTCTTAGTCAAAAAGTGCTCATACATTAAAGTTCTAGATACCCATATTAGTCCTAGTTAACCAGGGTTAACTGGGTTAACTGAAAGAATGAGGTCAAACAGCCCAGAGCCAAGTTCAAACAAAACCATAGTCAACTCTCAGTTGTCCTGGTGCAGATTAACTGTAGAGCAGATGCTGCAGGGACTTGTAAAACTACCCCTGCTCTGCAGTCAGGCCACTGCTCATTGGTACTAAATTCTGTCCCTCCCATCCCCAAGGGGCTGTAGAAGAGCAACTGTTTGAGAACAGGATGGCTGCTGGAGAAAGGATGTGGTCATGAGTATTGGGGAATGGGATATTGAATAGTTGACTGAGTTATCTAACACCCTCCAGAAAGCTTCAAGACAGAGGCATTTTAAGGAGGAGTAAGTAGGGGGTGATTCCAGAAGAAACAAGAGGGTGGCGTGAAATGGGGAAGCAAAAGAATGTAAAAAAGTATGTGACTATGAAACAAATGCAGAGATCAGAGCCTTAAAGAGAAGGACAGATTAAAACATACAAAGCAAGAAAAGAGAGATCCCAGTGCACTCAAGGAAAGAGAAGCCCCCCAACATCCTTCCTGCTTAGTCTTAAAACACAGCTGAGCCCCCTTTTCCATTGTCATGGTCGATACCAACTTTATCAACTTTTCCATTAAAGCCAAACTCAACTTAGTACAGTCAATGATGGACTGTTGTCTATATGCCAGGCGGATCCCTTGTATAACTGACTGTGTAATGGCTGAAACTGAGAAATTGGGGCAGAAGTAAGGATTGCTAAGGATCCAAGATTTGAATGATTATCATGCACACACAAAGGAACCTATGCAGATGACTGCTTAGTACAGAGAGTGACTCAGCAAGTGTTACATTGTGGCCACAGTTGACCAGTATCTTGAAGGATCTGGAAGATCCCTGGGTTTCCCATCATGTACATGTCTAACCAGATAAATATGGAGCCCCTCCTTCTAATTCTTTAAAAAAAAAATTTTTTTTTAACTTTTACCTATTTTTGAGAGACAGAGCATGAAAGAGGGCAGAGCAGAGAGGGGGGAAACACGGAATCCAAAGCAGGCTCCAGGCTCTGAGCTGTTGGCCCAGAGCCCGATGCAGGGCTCAGACCCACAACTGTGAGATGGTGACCTGAGCCAAAGTCCGACGCATAACAGCCTGAGCCACCCAGATGCCCCAGCCCTCCTTCTAATTCTTAAAAGATAGAGTACCTCTGACTTCCTTTACCATTTTTTTCTGTTGCCAGTTCATATAGCAATATGCTATAGCATGAATTATTATTCCACTTACCCATTTGCTCTGTTATGAACTGAGTATTGTTAAATGCACTCAGTTTTTGATGTTGTTTTGGAAAAAAAAAGAAGTAGAAAGCTTATTCATAATGGTCTTTATTCTCCCATACTAAGAGGGGAAGGGAGATAGGTAAATTTGGAAAGTGAAAAAAGTTACTAATTAGGAATGAATAAAAGAATTTGTGGGGCTCCTGGGTGGCTCAGTCAGTTGAGCATCCTGCTTCGGCTCAGGTCATGATCTCATGGTTCATGAGCTTGAGCCCCACATCTGGCTCTCTGCTGTCAGTGCAGAGCCTGCTTCGAGTCCTCTGTCTCCCTCTCTCTCTGCCCCTCCCCTGCTCTCTCTTTCAAAATAAATAAACTTAAAAAAAAAAAAAAGAATTCTGAACAGCACCGAGTACCCAAATGAGTCCTAGATTAATGTGTTTGTAGCTAAATTGATGAGCATGGTAGCAGTTATTTCTATTCTCTCTCCCTCTTTTGCGTAAGTAATCTCTGTGCCCAACATGGGGCTCAAACTCACAACCCTGAGATCAAGAGCCGGATGCTTTATTAACTGAGCCAGCCAGGTGCCCTCCTATTGTCTTTTTAAACAGAGCCTCGTGTTTGCTTTGGTAGCACATATACTAGAGCCTAATATCTTAATTCTTAGTAAACTATCAATGCTCTTAAAGCTAGTCATTGTCTGATGGAAACAATGTTATCTGCCTTCTTAGAAAATAGATATTTTTAGGAAAAAAAATAAAAATATTCAGGCTTATAATAAATAAATAACTAATAAAAAGAAAAGTTAAAAAAATATTGAGGCTTAAAATCTTAACATTTCAAGAAGATTTTAACTTGTTGAAAGTTCCTTTTATCACTCTCCATGTGGAAGATGTTATACTAAGTTCATTTTACATATTTTTTCCTTTTTTTTTTTTTTTCATTTTAGAGAGATGGTGTGAATGGGGAAGAGGAGCAGAGGAAGAGAAAATCTTAAGCAGGCTGTATATTCACTGCATAGCCCAATGTAGGGCTCGATCCCACAACCCTGGGATCATGACC